CTGCATAGGAAGTGAAATGGAAATTATAGTTTATAGTGTGAAATGGATGGGCACAAGGCTTTTATCTTAATGTAAGCATATCCATAAGTGTGGCCTGAATTGAATTAAGAGTATACTAATGATGCAGTCTTTACAGGAAGCTTCATCTAAAATATATAGAGCAGTGAAGTTACTGGCTTGCTTGAACCTAACATTGCCATCAACTAATCTCAGTTTTGTCATTTGTTTATAGCCAAAAACGTTTTCCCTAGGTTTGTTTTAATCAAATATAATTTTTTTCATAGTCTAGATTTTCATTTTAACTTGCTTGCTGTTGCAAAGATTTAAACATTTCATACAACTCATACCCCAGAAACATGACATCATCTAAAGAAAGAAGAGGGTAGCTCTAGTTAGTCCATGTAAACTGGGTGTGTGTCTCACCCCCCCAGCATGCCCCTTATAGAAGACCACATCTTTATTTTTATTTTTAGATAAAAGCATAAAACTGGAGTTCTTATTTTAGGGATGGGAAAACATCTTTAGACGTAAAATTACTTTTCCAAAGTCACATAGACTGAATAAGGTTGGGAGTGAGAGAAAAGATGGAATTCATGCTACCGGCAAGGCGAATGACAGGAAAACCATTGTACTCGGGTGGTTTTGACTTTTGTTTAACTGGAGTTCAGATAACTCTTTTAAGATGAATCTGATCATTTTATAGCCACAGCTTATATGTTTTTCCCCCAACAACCAATAAATTCCTATCCTGGAAAGCGGGAAGCAGGGGGAGTAGGGGTGGTGGTCCTGTGAGAAAATGCAAGGAGAGGGAGAGGAACCAATAATCAGATAAACATTAATTAAAGATAAAACATTGTTGTAAAGGCCACTGGCATAGTCCACTCTAAAAGCAAGCTAAAAAAATTTTTTTAACTCTTCTTTTCAAAATACATTATTATGCTGGAAGTCAGCCAGCCACAGTTATCAATTCAGTTTTCATAGAACACATACCTTATGACCCAAGGGCTTGGCATCATTTTCTCCAATCTCGTAAATTTGAACATCCAAATTCCTGCACCTTTAAATAGATAAAATCTGTTTATCTTGGAAGTGTTAACCCGTGAACTAGCAAAGCCTCCTCCAATGATATCTTTGGCCTCTAAAGTATTTCTTGAATAATCAATTTTACTTCTCTTTGGAGACAAAATACCAAGATTGGACTGGGTAATTGGTTACACAAAACAATCAAGATGACGTGGGCTCATTCAGGATCCCCAAATTATATGAAACAAAAGGTGCAGATAAATGAAGGGTTTACTTTCATTGTGCTTTTTGGTTCTCTGACTGCCCTGGCAAAGACAAAGGGCAGTTCCCTAGTGTTTTTATCTGGTGGGGAGGGAAATTATTTCAGGAAAGCATTTTTCATAATTTTCTATAAAAATGAGAGAATGTACATTCCTTTAATCTGTAGATGGGAGATTTATCAATTTTCTAATTATTCATGTAGTTCAGATTAGTACTTAATAATGACTTCCTGAATATAGCAAAATATCAATGAACGAATATCTGAGATAAAGTTCTTTTACGTTGCCTGTGTTTTTAAACTTTTGTCTGATAATCTGAAGTTGCCTTTCCAACTGACCCTCTCATTAATACCTTCCTTGATTCAAACATTTCATTGGTCTCTTCCCAGTTGAGAGTAAACAAATTAACACTGAGAAGCCATTTCATTCCTTTTACTTGTTCCTTCCCAGTTGAGAGTAAACAAAGTTGATGCTAACCAGCCTTTCATTCCTCCTACTGGCCTCTTCCCAGTTGAGGCTAAACAAAGCTGACACTGAACAGTCATTAGTCATTACCCCTGCAAAGTCAGTTTCTTCCTAGCCTTGCCCTTCTTCCCCCTCCCCCAAGCCCCCAGCAACATTGCACAGGGCTCTGACCCTCTTCCGGCCAATCTGGTATATTTAGGACCTACCAGTTCCCCCACCCATCTCCACTGGAATTTGGAAGGAGAAGCTGTCAATTGCTCCCCATTGTTTCTGTTTTGAATAGTTCTAAATAAGCGCAGACTCAGTTACTTAACGCCTACTCTTTGGAGTTTGCATACCTTGTGCTAAAACCTTTCAGGACCTGTACTCTCAAGGTCACTGTAGCCTTATCAACAGGCCAACTCTCCTATTTCACCTACCCCAGATTCCTCCTCCAGGGCCAAGCATTGTATGAAGTGACACAGCAAGGAGGATAGTGGAGGTACTTCCTGTTTTCAACCGAAGATGATTCTTCGCTGCATTATGTTTTCTAACATTCTGGATGTTATTTCAGTTGGTGGCCCCTGCCTCCTTATCAGTTTTTACCTGTAATGAACTAATGAACAACAAGAATATTACTCATCTGTATTATTATCGGTACTCTCTGGGAGCTTTGTGTGTGCCGTTGCACTCAGCCTTCCACTTTTATCATTGGGTGATCAATTTTGAACACTGGATATGTCAGTTCGATTCCATTTCTCATATTTCTGAGTGGTACCCTTAACAGGATTTCTAAAAATATCGTTTTGGTTTTCACTGTAGTCATCTACCCTGTTTCAATACTTTGATTTTGCTTTTGCCATATGACTAGAGATGGTTGCCGTTGACAGTGAAATCTAATGTGTGAACTGTAGAATATGTACTAAAACAGGTACACTGCACAGGGGTTTCTCAGGCTCTTCCATCTTCATCAGGTGTTTTCTATATCAGACAGAATGGTGAGAAACCACTGAGTTGTTTTTCTAGATAGTCTCACAATAGCACTTTAAGGTAAGAAGTCTTTAAGGGCAGACAAGGAAGAAATGAATATGCAAAGACTTCGGAAAACATCTGCTGAAGAACTGGGCCTAATGAGAAAGAAGAAAATATACTATCCAATTGGAATGTTGTATATCCACCTTTCTAGAATTCTTTTTTTATTATTCTTTCTTAAAATATAACCCAATAAAGATCATGTTATCTTTATGAAATTATATTTGCAAAGCTGTTTTGGGGTTCTCTATGCAGATGTTCACAGTTTGCCTTTAAAAAAAATCTTACAGAGGTTGAAGATAAGTTTTATTAATAAATGTTTACCCTTCGTTTTAGTTAGCTTTAGTGGTGAGTATCTTTTAATTCACTCTATGAATATGTGTCCCTTACTATTGATGAATGGGTATGAAGTTGACTATGAGAATAGCAGTGATCTGTTTGAAGACAGTCTAGCTTTTAGGAAATAAATATATGACTTTCCAGAAGGCTAGAAAATGTATGATAATATTTGTGTTCATTTGTAATATACCCATAGTATCAAAGATGTTTGATCTGAAAGAGAGCATCTGGCTCAAACCCCTAATTTTCTAGATGAGGACTCTGAGTCCAGAGAAGATAAGTGACTTCTTCAAAGTTATGCAGATAACTAAAATCAAGTCCTAGATCTTACTAATCCCAAATTCAGTGTTCCTTCCACCACACTACACAACCAAAATACTTTATGTACTACTGGAATTAAATTTAAGCCCATAAAAAGTCCATTATTGATTGAAATCCCAGAATTATTTCTAATTTTTCTACTTTTATATTATTAGTCTCACTCCCCTGAGAAGTCCATATTATTTTTTCTGTTCCTCTAACGGGAACCTAAAATATCTTGGTTTCTATCCCAGTATCACACTGAAAATATTTGCATTCATTTATGCTTCATATCCAATCAATATATAATAATTTTTTGTCTACAAACCATCTATTTTCTCTTTTAGATTATGAACTGGATGGCAAGGACATTGATGATTTCCTATTTGTTACAGCCCATGTAAAGTACACTTCGGGACCCTATGAAAGAAGTGCGACTTCTTTCAATTTCTTTTTTTATAATATCTTTGCGTTCTGGGGCAACCCTATATGTCTGTTGTGTGTGGCATATGCATACTCTCTGTGGGCATTTTACTAGGTGATGGTCATTGTAATTGGAATTACTATTACAGCCTCATTCCTTCTGTTTCCTTTTATTAATTAAGCCCACCGCTTCTACCAACTAGCCGAAGAAGCTGATCACATGGAAAACATTTTATATAGTCTTTAAAGAACCGGTTTCAGTTAATCGTATAGTACAACATAATTATGGAATCTGAGTATTAGAAAGAACATTGGAAAGCGATCTCCTGTGCCTACCCTGGAAAAATATTTTAAATAAAAGTGAGGAAGTCCTCAACGAGCCATCAACAACTAACATAGGTTACAGCCACTAAAATCAGTTCTTTTATATCTGGTTTAAATCCTTATTACTGCAGTAGAATTCTATGACATGTCTCCTGTGGAAGGACTATTTAACATTGTTGTGAGTGGTATAGGACATCGGTAGAAAAAGCAGCTTTGTTTTCTTCAGATATTTTCATAACCACCTATATTCTTTGAAAAATATATTTTTACTTCTCCTGAAATTTTTAATATAAAAAGTTATCCTGAAAGGAAATGAATGATATCAGAATTCATTAAAGTCAATCTTGGGAACGATTTGCCTCGAAGGATAAAGAAGGAAACAAATGTTCCCAAGCAAGTCAAAACACAGACTATGAGATTTTATTTGCCACTGCCCATCAAAAGTGACTATAATTTGGGTGGGTGAAAAAATTAAACACTTGGCTCCCAAAGAGATGTTCCTGAATTCAGGTACAATACATGATCTGGTGCCTGGCTACATCCACAATCTTTACAGCACTTCTTTACCGAGAAGAATTTAGATTATACTGATTCTGAGCTGGAAGTCCTGAGCTGGAAACTCCTTTGCTACTAAGGAAACTTTCTTGAGAAATAACCTTCTTGCTTCTATATACCTGAAGACAGCACATTAGAAGATGAGTGACCAAAAGAAATATGGAAGTCAGAAAGCTGCACACCATTCAGGCAAAATCTGGTTGGAGAGGAAAGCTGTTCCCATGATTAGTGAGCTTCCCCAGCTAGCCTGTAGGTGGGTGTGTTTAACAGAAGGAAGCAATGGGAACCCGCCTGTCAGCCAGCCTTTTGAGCTAATTAGCTCAGCATACAACAAAGATAAGTGAGCCTGGGAGGAGGGCCTCCTGAGGGGTCTTTAGATTCTGGGAAATGTCTGATTGGCAGATGTTAAAAGAGATTCTTTGGTAATCCTGTGCATCAATGAGCTGCACAAATTCAGACCAGGACTGCAAGAATTCAGGCATGAGGACACTGTGCAGCAGGCTCGCACAGGCAGACCCAAGATGGACAGAACCTTGGAATCCTTGAGACACATCATTGCCCAAGTCTTGCCTCACAGAGACCCGGCTCTAGTCTTCAAAGACTGTAAGTACTGAAGGGAAAAACGTTTTTTGACTTTTTTAGAAAATAGTCCTAAATGTCTAGTCACATCCTATTTAAGTATGTTTTCTCCTAAATCTCTGTAGTCGTGTGCTGTGGTCTAAGTGGTATTTAACTTGTTCCTGACTTCAGACAGAATAATTTCATTTCACCTACGGGTATCAGTCGCTGGAATATTTTGTCAGTGATACATCTTGTTAACCGTTTAGAAGTCTGTCTTAAAATCTAAAATTCGCCTAAGACTTAATGAACTTTTCCAGATGATTTTTAAATAAATAAGACTGATTGGTACTAGGATTAAAACTAAAAATAACTTGAACATGATAATAAAGTATATCTCTTTTTTAACCTGTTTAATCCTCCGTACCATATATGAGTTATGTTTAAAAAGTATTGTGTTTGAAATTTTTTGTTGCAAACAAATTAATAAATCACCACTGAGCTCTTAAATTTTGATAACAAATTATAACACTTTAGTTTAAAAGGCCAGTAAAATGAGATGTCTTCCCACTTCTGCAACAACACCCTCCCCCTGCCCCCCCAAAAATCTAAACAGCTATGGCAAAGTTATTTCAAAATCTTTTTTTAATGGTTATGAAAAATAATTCAATCAAGATTTCCAATTCTAGCAATACTATTAGACCATTTATCATGTAACTTTGTTTCTGGAACCAATTTGATTTCCTGCTGCTGCAAAACAGACTATCTTCACCTTGTATCTTATCTACAGTGGGTTTCATATTACAAAGGGCTTCTGAAACAGAACTTTGCTATGGAACTGCCCAAAAGGTAAAATGCATATGGATTTTTTTGTTTTTTACTTCAATAAGTTACAGCTTTCTTCTTTGTGAATCTCGTATGTTTGTCTCATCAAAACATCAATGGTTTGTATTTTTGCTTTCTGATTGCTGAATAATGTTCGTTTCCAGATGTCCTTTTATTTTATATTTCTCATATGTGTGATGAAGAGAAAGAAATGTTAGGCAATTTTATTCTATAAAATGTTCTTCTTAGAAATTAAATTGTAACCCATTTGCCCACTAAGGCATAAAGTGAAAGCCTGCTCTTTCTTTCTTTTTTCTTTCTTCCTTTTTTCTCTTCCTTTCTTTATTTTGCTTTCTTACTCCTCTTACTCTTTCTCTTGCTTTCTTAGTTTCTTGCTTTCTTTTAAATATTGTCTTCAAGCATGTGTCAATAGCTATGTTAGAACTAATAAAAATCACTCCCTCCCCCAGTCTAGCCTGGAGTCTATTCAGGTTTGGCATGTTTTTTTAAGTGAAAAGGGGAGGAAAGAATGCCTCTCTCCTACAATAGCACTGCATTCACTAGTGAAGGGTAAAAAGGATCTTGACCTGCCTAAGACTTTGGATGAACTGTAGAGGACCAGGGATCATGTGGTGAGGGTTTGGGTAGTAGAAACAGTAAAAGGAAATAGAGGTGAAATTTTTCACTGAGTTCATTGTGAATTTAAGAAATTTAATCTGAAATTATATGGCCCACTTTTTGAGCTGAAATAAATCCCAGCAATTGTTTACAGTTTACCAGAGAGAATAAAACAGAAAAGGATTAAAGTAAAACATACGTTAGGTTCCATCATCCAGGCCTTTGTGGGAACTCTTTTATATGGAAAAGCAAAGAAGTGTCCTGTTTTATATACTTCATTCCTTAACATAGAACTTAAATTTCATCAGATAGCATTGCCTGCTTACCCTAGAATGGGCTGCCACTCTGCAACTGCTTGCATGGCTTAATAGGTGTGAATTTTAACTTCTGAGCCTCTCCCTTCAGGTGTTTCTAATCTGAAAAATGACTAAATGAAAGTAAGCCAAAATGGCAGATTTCTGTGCCAGGGGTTTTTATGATATCCAGACATCCAACCACTCTCCATCCTCATGGAATAAATGGGAACAGTTTCACTTACTTTCTGGGGCAGACATCACAAGTCTGCCTAGGGCCTATGCCATGCCTCAGCAACCTACCATGCATGTGCCAGGGTTTAGCACATGGACTCATTTTCTTTGGCACACCCATAAGTTGCTGCCACCACAATCCTGCTTTACACAGCCTGTAAAAAGCTGCTATCAACCTTGAATAGCAGGTTCTAAGCAGCCTTCCCTCCTCCTAGTCACTCTTGGCTCCTTTTCCCCCACCCCAGGCCAGTCTCTTTTTGCCAGGAGGAAAGAGCTAAGCACTTGAACACATCACTGCCAATTCCTTAAGAAAAATTGCTACCTTGCTTTCCTACAAGATGAAAAGCCAATTCAACAATGCTTAAAACCGTGCACAGTTGAACAAAGGAGCATAAAAAAATAATAACATTCTAAAAGTGTTTTTCTAAATTTCTCTTCAATGATGCAGAGGCAGTTTTTTTCTCTTTATTCTTCAGAAACATATAATACAAGGAATGTAAACGATCATTTGATTAATTTGTTGCCCTCCCTTGGCTTTTGATTTGTTTAAAAGCAAGCAATAGTAAATTGAATTTTCTCTTCAAGTTGGTCAGGAAAAGTACCCAGAGAGTTTTCTGGTCTGAGACCGATGCACATGGGGATAGTTACATTCATTTAAGGAAATAAAATATGAATGTTTTTCTCAGCCAAGGAGGCCCTCCAAGTGGCATTTTGTAATGTATTAAACCTCTCATTTGTTTTAGACAGGTGTTCATCTGGCAAAAGTTGTAATTTTTTTTATTTTCTTTCCTGAAAGGAAATAAATTTCATGACATTTTTTCCCTTTTTCTCTATTTTGCATTTCAAATGAAAAATAACGGAAAGAAATTTTAAATGAGGTGGGCTCTCAGTTTGTAATTTGCTCATCTAAGCTGACACTGGACTGTTCTTCACTACCTAAATGTCTCCATTTTGTAACAGGTATCTCTGGGAGTCTCTACCACCAGACAGAATCTCTTTGCAGAGAAATTAAGGCATATATCCATGTTGCCCTTCATTCTTGGCTTTGTGCAACATCCAATTTCTTTTCATGTGTCACAATCAAAGATGAGCTATCCTGAAAGCAGCCCTTGTCAGCTCTTTTGAGAGTTTGTGTGTGAGCTTACTATCTGTTTGCCGCTGTTTAACAATTTCTCACATGCTTTCCCAAAGGAAATCACCGCCCCATGATTTCAAGATGTCTGCACTTTCAGATCCTACTCTGAGCGTTAACCCTTCAAATTACAAGAGCATAATATGCTTTTCTGCCATCTTGGGATCCTTCTTCATGCATTAATAGTAATGCTAAGATGTCAGTCCTCATCATGTGATTAAGGCACTATGCTAAGAAGGTTTACTCTTCACAGCAAGCCAATAACATAGGTACTATTGATTTATAGGTGAGAGAACTGAGGCTTGTGGAGGTTAAGGTGACTTGCCCAAGGCCACACCTAATAAAATGACAGAGCCAGGATTCAACTTCTATCTTCCAACCTCTCACCTTTAGCCACTGCAAGACATTGCCTCTCAGACGTGTTACATTACCATGTCATTTGTGCTGTCATGGCAGTATCTGTTAGGAAAACAGAGGTGGAACTGAAATGGACTCTTCTGGGTGTATGGAGAGAGCCCATTAAATAGGCATATCTGAACAGGAGTGTAACAGAAGAGTAATAAGGGAAGGGCATTTTTGAGGAGAGAGAACAATTTGTCCAAAGGCAGATCAGGCAATACAGGAACAATGCATCAGGGGAGGTGGAGACAAGGCTGAGAAGGCAGGTGGAGTCACACTCAAGTGTAAGCAACAGGGGTCCATTAGAGTTAGCAGTGATCGTAGATTAGTTCTGGAAGTGTATGGCCTCATGTCGTATTGGGGAAAAGATTATATTGACATCTGCTGCAGGTATACTTCCTGATACTAAGCTGGAGAGAATTGCAGATTTTTCACAGCAAGAATCCTTTTGCCCATTCAGGCAAGATGCAATACATGCCTATAGGGAGAAACCACTTTCACTAAATAAAGGCCAAAATCAAGGCAAACTTTTCAGGTAGTTAAAGACTATCTTAGCTGTCATTAAAGCCATGAGAACATGTTGGTTTCTAGCACTGATTTATAAAGTGAAGTGTTAGATTTCACTGTTTCCCAAAATTTTATAATGAAAAAATACGGTGGAACATTTAACTAAACATTGCACAATTAGAAGAAAAATTTCTCACATATTTGAAGTGCATTAACTCTTCCATTTGAGGAGACATTTTCTGCATGAAAGGTTGTATTTATACCAGTTAGGTGAATACTTCAAAAAGTACATTTTTACCCTTTGGAAAAATTGGACCATACTATAGAGCTATTAAAAACATCTCAGTAATCATGAATCTGGCTGTATGGAATGCAAGAGAGGAAAAATTCTCAGGAGTCAAGTATTTTCCCCATCCCATGCTTTTTAGAGTAGTTATCTAAAATCTATAAATTTGATGATACATTTATGGTTTTTGCATTTCACATAAAGGACTGGAGTAGGATGTGAGGGATGAAGGCACTTGTGCAATAAAATTCCTACACGTATTGCATTGCATTCCACCACAGAAAGTGTGCTGGAAAGAGCATGGTTAAAAAGCAAAAAACAGGGACTTCCCTGATGGCGCAGTGATTAAGAATCCACCTGCCAATGATGGGGACATGGATTCGATCCCTGGTCTGGGAAGATCCCACATGCCACGGAGCAACTAAGCCCATGTGCCACAACTACTGAGCCCATGTGCCACAACTACTGAAGCCCGCGCGCCTAGAGTCCATGCTCCACAACAAGAGAAGCCACTGCAATGATGAAGCCCACGCACCACAAGGAAGAGTAGCCCCCGCTCTCCGCAACTAGAGAAAGCCCGTGTGCAGCAATGAAAGACCCAACGCAGCCATAAATAAATAAATAAATTTATTTTTTAAAGTGAAGTATTGTTATAAAAATACCCAAAAAACAAAAAGCTCCACTGCTTGGTAGCTCATTTTGGATTAATGATGGCGTCTTAATTACAATAATTTGAACTCTGATAATTTTA